CCCCCTCTCCCTCGAATTTTAGCACACTGACAAACGCTCAGCCACTACGGGCTGCTGCACGTACTCCTACGTAATAAAGTGTACATAAGTAATGTACACATCTTATCGGTAAACTGTGTATGACTGAGTGAACGCTGTGTCCTACAGTCACTCGGGGTTGAGCTGCCAACAGGCCAGCGACGCACGTGACTCTGAACCGAGGCCCATTCACGTTGGCACAGTTTACAAGTAAGAAAGTGGAAGAGGGTCAAAAACGAACTCTTTGTCCCAGGAAAAGTTACTGGAAAATGGCCAATCAGTCCAAAGGGACACGCCGTGGACGGTTTGGCCGTGCATGTGTGTGCGTCCACTAACGTTGGCCTTGTTTCTTCCAGCGAAAGAGAGAATCGCCAATTTGCCGAGATTTACACGCGCAGCCCGAGACACGCCATACAACTCTCGGCCAGCCGTGGAGGCCCCCCACCCACCCCACACTGCATAATGCAAACTCACCTCGGTGCCTGTTGGTTTGCTTGTCAAACATCAGCATCGCATCTTCAATCTGAAACAGAAAGAACGGCGAAATGAGAAACGCACGCACGAAGCACAACAAAGCGCGCTCTCCGCGCAACAAACTTTGGCACAAAGTCTGACAAACAACAGAGGGTAACACCACCGCCCCCCACCAGCCCGCTCGCGCAATCAAATCCACATCTACGTAGCGTACCCGCGCCAGCGCCACCCCGAACACCACCTGCGCAGGTCTGAACGTCTACTACACGTCACCAAAATTCTGAGTACGATTGCGAAAATCAGCCGAGCAACCGTTATAGAAAAACACAAATTTGATAGTCTCCCTCGTCATTTTTCTTCTTCTTGTTTCGACTTGCCATGCAAAAGAAAACAAACGAACATTTTAGCCAAGCCCCTGATCAATGGGAGATGGAAAGGTCTACAAAATGGCATTGCAGGTGCTTTTTCAAGGGCAATTTTTCCCCTTTACAGTTCCGCGTCGGCTCTATTTTGAAGTAACTAAGACCTCTGGGTGTTCTTTTCAATGATTGAATCTGAACACTGCATCTATACAATTGACGAGGCATACAAAACATTTCGAGAGAATGCGCCGGTTCCACCGAGGGTTCTCTCTGTTGCCAGAGGGTGGCCGAGATGGGACGCAGCGACACCTGCTGGGACGGAACACAGCCCCCCCCCCTCCCCTGGCAGTAGCTGACTGAAGGACAGAGGAGGAGGGCAGGGGAGGAGGGCAGAGAAAGGGGCTGCGGGAGTCTTTCGTCCATCTCCGCAAGACCTGCGCGTTTCCCGTAGCAAAAAAAAAGTAATCGAGGACAGCGACAGCGGCGGCCTCTGTGGCGGCGGCAGAAAGACGTCCACAACAACTTCTGTATCAAGCCTTTTCTTCGGCGCTCCTCCCATCTTCCTTCTCGGATCATACCCCTTCCTTCCCCTCGCCCCGCCGCATCCTTTCCCTCCCCTCTTTTCTGATAGCGGACAGACGACGCTGAGTGACAGCAGACTCGGCCTTTCCGACCCCCACGCCCCCCTCCCCCACTTCCCGCTCAGCTCTGATGGCAAATCGTTCGCGACGTTTCATTTTCGGAGCGAGCCGAGCAGCCGAGGAGGGACGACGACGACGACGACTACGACGGCGAGAAGGCGAAGGAGGGGAAGGATTTAGGAACGAGCGCCGTAAGGCACGTGACGCTTCTTCGTGACGACCTCCTTCTGCTGCTCCTCCCCCGTTCCTTTCTATTATTCGTATACCAAACAACGCCGAACCCAGGCACGGCAGGAGTGAGAGAGCCTTTCGGCTGTCTCGGTTTTAAGTTACTCTTCGTTCTTTGTTTATTTGGGTCAGACTTTTGCGAATTTTTTCTCGATTCGTGTCACTGGTCACTCAGCGTGACAAAAAAAACAAAACAAGAAAACGTCAAAGTGAATGGCTACGGGCGGCGATAAGTACGGGCGGACGGTTAAGCAATCGCGTGTGCGTGGGCGGACTGTGGGAGGTTTGTGGTGGGAATCGCAGCCCGTCCGCCGCCGTTCGTTTATGCGGTCAGCTTTGTGTCCACCCGTCAGTGTGTGGGTGTGTCTGTGTGTGCGCACGATCCTGTTGTTCTCTGCTATTCTGCCCGTCCCGCAATACCTTTCTCCCGCACCACCGCTTTCCTAGGGGTGCTCTATGTGCGAGCACCCCCTCCATCCCTTCCCCCTATACACACACAATGGTAAAAAGAAAGAATACGCCCACATTCACGCACGCACGCGCACACACGCACTCATACAAGCGGGAGGCTGTCCATGTTCCCATTTTCAAAATTTCTCCCTCCTTTCTTCTTCTATTCCGAGTGAAGCGCCCGCACTGCCGCGCCTGTTCCATCATGTAATGTGACACACAGAATTCGAGCCCACACACATTCGGCGCACACGCACACACACACACACACACAGCCCGCTGCTGCAGCACGTCACCCACCTCCTCCTCCTCGTCACAGACTCCCTCCAACCGCCGTCGCAGTAGCCATGTCAAGGGCGAGCGCGCGGGACGGGAGCCGCCCGATGGGCAGGCAACCCGACGCGCACGGCTGCGTGACGGGCCGGCACGGCCCGGCCGACGGGCGCCCGCCGCAGCCGGCCGGGCGGGAGAAAAAGTGAAGCGAAAAAAAAAGGGATGTTGGGAAAAAAACTGACTCCTATAGTCGCGTTTGAACCGTCAGGTCCGCCCCACCCCATCCGCCCGCGGGGGGCGGTGGCCACGTGACCGCGCCAGACGGACAAAGACAGCGCAGGGGCGCCGCCAGTAGAGCGAGGGAGACGATGTGATAGACCCACTGGGAGGAGGGAGAGGGGATGGGGGGCTCTGGAAAAAAAACAATAGAATGGACGGTGATAGCAATCGAGGGCGGGGCGGTGGTGGGGCGCGCAGGAGTGGGGCGCAACTATATCTACATTAGAGCGAATCTCGCGCCGCGACCCACAACGCCGCGCTCCGGCGCGCAGCCCCGGCGCGGCCCCCGACGATCGATGGTCCGCGCTGCGTTAATTGACAGCTTGCCCGCCACCCTCCTCCCTCCCGCTCCCCACCTC